GTCTACAAAAGCCAGAGCTACTGAAATTTCACACCAAGAGGAGTGCAGAGGAAAGCCCCAAAGATCCCGCTGTTGGGAGATGGCACGGGGCGGACGGACAATGGACACTTCTAGAACAACACCTGACATTCTGAGAGAAGCTGTCATTCTAATCAAACTTCTAACCCAGTGGTTTTGACCTTCCTAATGCTGTGACCCTTTAATACAGTTCCTTGTGTTGTGGTGACCCTTTACCATAACATTATTTCCGTTGCTACTTAACTGTGATTTTGCTAGTGTTACTATCACATGGAGGCAGCGTTCCCACCAACCATAGCTATATATAAAAAGATTGATAGGCACCCCGATTAAGTTTCCATGGTTCAGATATATATATATGTAAATATATGTAGATGTAAAAGCATGTACTGTAAAATCATCAACTATGCAAACATACCCAGTAATTATCATCTATAAAGTGTGTTTTGCCTCCGATATTGCTGCTTTCAACACGGCAATTGTTCTCTCACATGTGTGACTGGTCCACATGAGTACGTTATGGCGCTAACCCTGTCACATACACTTCCCTGGATTTGTTCAGGGTGTATATGACGGGATTGCTGCAATGATGTCATCATGCCAGGTACTCATGTGAGTGTATCTGCACATGGGTAGACCTGCCTGGAGGCGATAGAGGAGTGGTGCCTCCGTTCTTAACATCAGCAGAATTCTGTAAGTGTTTTCCGATGGTCTTAGGCAACCCCGATGAAAGGGCCATTCAACCCCCACGGGGCCATGACCCACAGGTTGAGAACCACTGTTGCAAATACCCATGAAGGATGAAGATATAAGGTTGTCCTTTCTCTAGATTTACTTGGGGCTGCTGTCCTTTCTCTCCATGTTTTAGGATGTCCCTTCCCTAGATTTATGTCGGGCTGCTGTCCAGGAAAACAACGGTGTAAAACAAACAAGCAAACAAAACTCAGAAGACAGATGACCCAATACAGGGCGGGGGTGGGGGGAGACCCAGACAGGAAGGCGGCCTCCCACGAAGGGAGTTGTCAAGCTCGCCAAGTTCATGTTGGAACAGGAGGGCAGAGGGTTTCAGGAGGGAAGTCTCGGAAACCAATAGCAGCAGCAGCAGCAGTAGCCATAAAACTCAAACCAGAGACAGCTGATGAATTGCCATCACATGGGAATTGAATACTAGAATATATCTGGGGATCCGTAGGAGCTGTGAACAGAACCCCAAAGATACTTAGAAAGTAAACAAGTGAAAACAGGACAGAGGATCCTTTTACGTAAAGCAACTCATTATCTTAAAAACAGACAAACAAACAAACAAACAAACAGGAATCACAGGACCGGACAGTGTTTGGATTAGTCATAATGTCATGCTGATGACAGTGGGCTTCCTTCCAGGGGTGTGCTACTACCCTGAGAAAACTAGGAAAGGGAGAGTAGGCATGGCCACAGGATACCCTGAATCCGTCTATCTAACAAAGAATTTAAAAAATTGAGAAGTGACAAATCAAGGAAGAACTGGGCTAGTTACTTAGAAACAAAGAGGTAAATGGTAAAGGAATAGCAATGACTCTAAAGAGGAGAGATGGGTACATTTGCATAATGAGCCTTTGAGAACCATTTGACTTCAGTTGTTTTATTAGTGTGTGTGTGTGTGTGTGTGTGTGTGTGTGTGTGTGTGTGAACAGGTGTGGAGACAGGAGGACAATGTGTGGGAGTTGGTTCTCGCCTCTACTCTGTGTGTCCTGGGGGTCAAACTCGGGTCATCAGGCTTGGCAGCAAGCACCTTGACCTGCTGAACCATCTCATTGGGCCCCTGTCTGCCTTCTACACCTCGTTTTGTGCTGTGTTGGGGGTTGGGCCCAAGGCCTCTCACATGCTAGTTAAACACTACATTTTTTAAAGAAGACACTTTAAATTTGTTTTTATTCTGTGTGTGTGTTTTGTCTGCTGCATATGTGTGCACCATGTGGGTACCTGGTGACTGGGGTGCTCAGGACAGTGCCTAAAACTGGAGTTATGGCAGTGGCAGTTGTGAGCCTCTGTGTGGGTGCTGGGAATCAAACTCGGGCCCTTTGTAAGAACAGTAAGTATTCTCAATTGCTGAGCCATCCCTGCTTCTTTAAGAAATAGATCTTAATAAAATATAAATAGAAATAGGTCTGCAAAACAGCAGGGTAAATAGCTTCTTTCACCTGAACAGCCTACTTCTAAAATACCATAGGAGTTGGGTATCATGGCTTTTCAGGGGGCTGAGGTAGAAGAATCTAAGTTCAACCATAGCCTGGACAATAGAGTGAATTTAGAGCTGGCCTGGGTAACTTAGTGAGCTATCGTGTCGAAATAAAAAGCAAAAAGAGCCCAAGATACAGCTCAGTGGTAGAGTGCTTGTGTAACATTATGTAAGTCCCTCTGCTCAGCCTGGAGTCTACAAACTGCAAGCGAGCAAGTGGAAAAAAAAAAGCAAACAAACAAACAAAGAAATAAAAAACCAAAAGACACTCTAGTCAGTCTCCAAGAAACAGCAAGTGGTCTGACGCTGACCTGCGTAAATCAATGTTTGGGGCAGCCTCAATGTGACAAGCTATCAAGTTGCCTTACCTTCTGGGATAATGTCTCAGCCCAGACCTAGGGACATGTGGGTGGCAACCCCCCCCCAAACTGTAGCCAAGAAAAATGTGTCAGAAGCCAAGTAGCTTTGTGTGCTTTGTCTTAGGAGAAGTCCCTACAAGATGTGGGTCAGGTCTTGCAATACTTTTGTTTAGTCACAAAGGAAAATGAAGCTTGAGGACATTTTGAGGAAGACATTCATATTTCGCTGGGACGGGAACCCAAGTCTGTCGAAGCAAAGTCTATGTGCCTACAACCGTGTGGACTTATTACTGTTCCGCCCTGCTGACCGTGGCTACCAGGACAGAGTACAGTCTGGTCACTTCTAGTTCTTGTGAACACCGGCTTCCTCCTTGCCAGAGTTTCCCCTCCCTCAGCAGTCAGGAGGCTCAAGACGAATACAAACAGAGCCTGCTAGTAAACTCTGTCGGTGTTTGCAGATGAACTAGTTAGACCACTGGGGTGAACAGGTGGTCCACAAACTATAGAGGACCCATCCTTGGTCACGGTGGTCATTTTTGTGACCACATTTCAGAACAGATTTTAAGACGAGGGAGCTAGTGCTCTCAAACACTCTCCACTTGCTATTTGGTAAGCAGGTTGATGGGGGGCGGGGGGGCTCCGAACTTTAAAATATGCCGGTTCTGGAGGCCGCCTGCTCCTCCTCGTTCGTGGGAAATCTGTTCTGTTTGCCTCTGAGGACTTGCTCTTCTTGATTACCACAGGCTCAGCACATATGACCAAGAGGAACCTCGCAGCTCTGGGAAACAGCTTCCTTCCCCTTTATTCGGGTGTGTACCAGGCAGAGTGGGCCTGGGTGCCCTTCCAAAACTCTCAGTGATATCTAGCAATTCACTTTAGCTCAAGTCTGCCACCTCGTGGACAGTTCTCAGTTTTAAAAATTATCTCTCAATTTCTGAAAAATAGTGCTTGCCCAACAACGCATTAAAACAAAACAAAACAAAACAAAACAAAACAAAACAAAACAGGTACTCTTTTTAGTCTGTAAGTTATCTGGATAGTATTATTCTTTTTACTCTATAATGAGAAAATTAGGGATTAGCAGGAGGAAGGAATTCAAAACCTGGAACCACAATTAATGTCTTTTCCCCCCAGTCAGCAAAAACTTAAAGGTGTGAGCCCAGGATATGTCCTGGTTCATCAGTGACTACCAAGTGAGGTCTTTCTGCAGAGCTGAACCTGATTTCCGCCAGTCCCCCCGCCCCCCGAATCTGAATGTGGAGTTAATCTGTGCAGTTCAGGTAAAGAAGTTCTGAGCCGCTAGCCCATTTCAGCTGTCCTGGTTAAAGTTTGGTGAGTTACTGCGGTATCCCCAATCAGAGTTTGCTGAAATGTAAAAGCCACATGACATGAGTTCTCCTTGGAATTTTCTAAAACCATCCAGTGGCCCCTTTGCCAGCGATGTGCTCACATCCGAACCTCTCTGGGCACACCATGCGAAGAGAGTGGCCTGGGCTTGGAGTAGGCTTCCCTGAACCAAATGGGTTACTCTGCTGTCCAGTAGACGCTGAAGTCTCCCTAGGCCTCATCTTCCTTGCGGGAGAGATGTGGAGACCCCCGTAAACCACAGAGAGCTCCAAGCCTGAACTTCACGTGGATTTCATAGGATGAGAATACAATGATCAGCTTTAATTGTCCCCTTGACATGACCTAGAGTCGCCTGGGAGGACAATCTCAGTGAGGGACTGTCCAGGTTAGGTTGGGCTGTGGATGAGCATCTTGTGCAAGTTAATGAACTCAGCCCACTGTTGGTGGTACCATTCCCTAGGCAGGAGGCCCTGAACTGTCTTAGAGCATAGACACTGAGCTGAGCCCAAGCAAGCAAGTGTGCGTGCACACATTCCTTTCCATCTGCCCTAGACTGCAGATGTGATGCGACTACTTGATTGGTTTTCTGCTGCTTTGACCTCCCTCCCATGGAGAACGCTGTATAGCCAGGACAGTGATGGGATTGGAAGAAGTCATGTTGTTAAGCTGGTGGCTTTCCTTATACGCCGTTTCTCACTTATTTATAGCAATTAATTTATAAATGACTTTTCCTAATCAATGCAACTGCCTTATGGGCAAAATAACAACAACAACAACAATAATAATAATAATAATAGTAGTAGTAGTAGGAAGAAGAAGAAGAAGAAGAAGAAGAAGAAGAAGAAGAAGAAGAAGAAGAAGAAGAAGAAGAAGAAGAAGAAGAAGAAGAATAGGTTTTTAAGACAGGGTTTCTCTGTGTAGTCTTGGCTGTCCTGAACAGGGTGGCCTTGAACTCCACCTGCCTCTCCTCCCCAAGTGGTAGGATTACAGGTGTACACCACCATGCCTGGCTCGTTTTGTTTTTATTAAGAAACTGGGTAGGAAGAGCACTTTCTTACCTTGTAGATGCAGGACTTGGCATTCAGGAAGAAGAGCTCAATGGTGGCATTGTCCTTCAGGTAAGAGATGCTTTCTATGTAGAATCTGCAAGAGAAAAACCACGCGTGAGGCACAGGGGGCGTGGAAACTACTCCACTGAGCTGGGTGGTTTCAGAGAAAGATTGCAGCTCCTGGTGCTGCATGAAGAAAAGACAAGGCGGCCATCAGTCTGGTTTCTGCTGCCTGCCTTGAGGCCACGCCAGGTCTTACACACGTGTACTGACACTTTTCTGAATGTGCACTCAAGACCAGCAAGCACAAGAGAATACATTGCAGGTATCACTAAACACTAGGGAAATGCAAATCAAAAGCCCAATGAGCTAGTAACCTACAAAACTCTAAGATTCTTGTTTTTCTACACAGTGAAGTCATCTTTATGACATGAAAATACAGTGTTGGGACTGGAGAGACAGCTTACCACTTAAAAGTGTTTACTCTTCTTGCTGGAGGTCCCCGGCTCAGTTCCCAGCACCCCAATCAGGTGGCTCACATTCCCCTCTAACCCCAGTTCCAGGGGGTCCAGTGCCCTCTGGCCTCTGTGGGTACCCGCATATATGTGGTACACAAAAGCCCACGGAGGTGCACACACATACACATAAATACATGTGAAATATATCGTCTTATAACACACATAGGAGGAGCTTTTGTAGTAACCCAGCAGTCTTACCTCTAAGGACAAAGCGGTTCTAACCATTGAGCTATTATGATAACAAGATACGGGACATAATTAAGTTTACAAATTACACTTCATTGTGTGTGTGTACAAGTGTATGTCTGGGTGTATGCCTACATGTGTCTTCAGTGTGCAAGTAAACATGCGTCCACATGCTTCTGGAGGTCAAAGGACAAACAAGTGTAGTTTCTTCAGAACTGTCCATATTTAAAAGCATGCATGCAAGCAAGCAAACCATTATGATCTCTCACTGGCCCAGAGCTCACTGAATAGGCCAAGGTAGCTAGACAGTGAGCCCCAGGGGTCTCTGTTCCTCTACCCCCAGTGGTTGGATTATCTGCATGTGCAGCCATGCGCAGCCATGCCTGGCCTTAGGGGGCTCTGGGGGACCAAGCTCATGCTTGTATGAATGAACAAGCACTTCTCTGACAGAACTGTCTCACCAGCTCTAGGCATCGATTTAAACCCCAAACCAAAAACCTTTAAAATACACACCCATGGGGGAAAATGTGGAAATATATATACCAACCTAGTTCTAACAAACCAAGTTCTAACAAACAAGACTCTTGACTGACCCTCCACTTCTTTTTTCGTTACTTAATTTCCATTTTTTCATTCTGCTACTTTTTCATGTTACCTTTTTCAATCCTGCTCATTGTTGAGCTAGATTTTTAAAAGAGAATTTGTTCTGTTCAATGAAGCAGCGGGCGGCAGTTACGGGGCTCGGGGCTCTCGAAGGGACTTCCCTTGTGCTTCCCTGAGGACTGGAGAAGTGTGACTGCATCCCTGCGCTGGGATAAGTGTTCTTAAGGCTGTGACATTCATGCACATTAAGCGGAATGAGAACTGAGTTCCCATCAGATGGAGCCCATGGATCTCTCTCAAGACGAAACATGCTGACATTATTTAAGTTTACATTAAATGCGCCTTTACACATTGATTCAGAGCTTATTAAATTCTCTAATCAGTTAATGAGCCCATCCAGTCTAAGGATCCACGCAGGGTGTTAGAGTAAAATCAAGACTAGACTAGGAGAACACTGGTTACTTGGATTCTGGGAGAGAGACAGAGGAGGAGGGTGCCGAGGGTGAGTAGGCAAAAGCAAGAAGCAATTTTGTGGCCATACGGCACATGATGCTCTGATGATGGGAATCCTGGGACGAAGTCCAGGACTGGGGATTGAATCTGTGTGACCGAGGACATGTCACGATTCTGTAATGGGTTTCTCCTTTCCCAACTGTAAAGAAGAGAGTAGGACTCAATGGATCCCCATATGAGAAGTCTTTTTATTTTCAGATTCGAGGAATGAATTTAAAGAAAAATGGTTTCCACAACCTCCACAGCTCTGCAGCAGCAGCAACAACAACAAACAAAACTGAATTTTGTGGTAAACAGTTGTAATCCCCACTATGGGAAGTCCAAGCATGAGGAACAGGAGTTCATAATCATTCTTTGCTATACAGCAAGAGTTTGAGGCCAGGCTAGGTTACATAAAACCTTGTCTCAAAAACACCAACCAACCAACCAACCAAACAAACAAAAAACCCCATCAAAACACCGTCCTCACAACCAACAAAGCACTCCCAGGCTAGGCAGGCCAGTCTCATAGCCCTCTTGTCTGTTGACTAAGTGAATGATGTCTTCTACCCTTTTTCAAATATGTGAAGAGAATGCCAAGGTGAACACAGTGTGGATTCATGTACACATGCTGGTGAATCTCAGAGATGGGTGGACAGGTCCTCTCCACCAACAGACAATAGCAGCTCAACACAAAGTCAGACAATGCAATTCCAGAGGGTTAGAAAGTGGTCCTCGCTTGCAAAGCCTGTGAGAGGGGAGTGGTGGACCTCTAGCTGCTCTGTCTCCATCCTGGAAGCACCTGCCTGCTGCTTTGGGAGCAAGTGTCTTAGATCACGGGGCCTCCGTATAGAAGGCTGTGCAATGGTCTCAGGGGAATGCCAAAGTCGCACAACTGTCAGTACCTGAGTAATGGAAGCCAGAAACACAGCGGCAGATTTTACATCTTGAGGGAAAACATGCTAAATTATTTAGATTTAAAATCTAGATATTCATCTCTTAATATTGTGTGTGTGTGTGTGTGTGTGTGTGTGTGTGTGTGTAAAGCAGAGTACACATGGAAGCCAGAGTAGAACTTACGTAGCTGATCTCTCCTTCTACTGTGTAGGTCCTGGGATTGAACTCGGGTCATTGTGCTTGCCAGCAGAAGGGCCACTGCGCCGTCTCCTGGAGCTTATTATTTCTTAATTAAAAAGACACCTGATGTGCATTTGTGCTTGTGCATGCACAACCGACGTGGTGTGCACTTGGAAGTCGGAGGACAGCTTGTGGAAGGAGGCTCCCTAAATCTCCACCATTTACAGAGTCTTTGGTAAGGGGCAGTCAGACCAACAAAGCAAGTGGGAAGAAGGGATGCGGGAAAACTGAGAGAAAATGGGAGAGATAAATGCAATAAAGAAAGAGAAATGCTTTGATAATCAAGCTATTTGAGACTCTACACCTTCACACTCTAAATTATCACCTAGTAGAAAGGTCACTGTTAGCCTTAGGAGGATTCTGTTATTCTGGCACTGTGTTCTGTTTTAACAGTGGGACATGAACTCACTGAGGCATCAGCTGGCCCTGTGGATATGAGACCCCACTCCTGGAAGTTTAGGATAGCCGAGGAACCACTTGACAGACTGTACATGTGGCCTTTTTAGATGTGCCCTATGCAAACCATTCTACAGAGAGCCGCCTCCATTCCCCACACGACCCCTCTCCCTTCCTTCACTCCTCCTGCTTACCCTCCACTCCCCACCCCAAAGCCCCTCTCCTGGGCTTCTGGGACACTGCTCAGCATACTTCCCACAGCCCTGGCATGTCTGATAACGGCTACAGTGGCTCACTAGGCTGCTGCCTCCTGGAGGGCTGGGGCGTGTCATTGTTATCTTTGTGCTTCAAGAAACACAACTTAGCATTCTCTCTCTCTCTCTCTGGCTTTCAAGATAGGGTTTCTCTGTGTAGCCCTGGCTGTCCTGGACTCGCTTTGTAGACCAGGCTAGCCTCAAACTCAAACAGCGATCTGTCTGCCTCCCTGAGCTAGGATTAAGGGTGTGCGCTAGCACGCCCAGCCACATATTAGAGTTCCTAAGGGGTAGCTGTATAGTTACTTTCTTGTCTCTGAAAAAATACTCCACCGGAAGGAGGAAGTACTCATTCAGGGTCAGTGTCTGGAGACCCCGCTTCAGCATGGCAGAGGAGGCAGGACAGCTGAGGGGCTTTCAGAGAGCTCAGGCTGGAGCCAGGACAAATATATCCTTCAAGGTTTACTGCCAGCAACCTGTTTTTGCTAGATAAGCCTCATGTTGCAAAGGTTCCACAACATCCCCAAACAACAGCACCAGCTGGGGCCCAAATGTCCAAATACATGAGTCACTGTGTGTGTGTGTGTGTGTGTGTGTGTGTGTGTGTGTGTGATTTATAAGCCACATCAACAGTGAAAGAGTAAGGACAAAGAACAAACAATTGACATCCAAAGTGTCACAGAATTTTAGGTGTGGGGTCTCACACTCCACCAGGCCAGTCATCACGCTACTTCCTCATCTCTTACTGTTCACACGGAAAGTGGTTAAGGCGAGGTTGCTGATTAGCTTGTATCTTAATGGCAGAAATTTACCAGTGATATTTCGAGCCAGACAGAGCTTACTGGATTAGTAGTTTTTGCATGGAGATTCGGAGACTCTGAAATAACCTAATTTATCCCATCTGTCTTAGTCCTCAACTAAAACACAAAGCTGTTTGCATGTGCCACACCCTCAGTTTTCTCCCAGAGAATATTTTACAAAAACCCAATATTCCACGTCTCTCTTTAGTGCTGTATTAATGGAGAATTAAATGAGGCAGCAGCATTGCTGTCTCAGGCAGTCACATCCATTTTCGCAAGTTTCTACTGTCTGGCAAGAGAGTCCAAGGAGGTTGAAGAAATAACAAGCATATTCTGGGATGGAGAGAGAGAGAGAGAGAGAGAGAGAGAGAGAAGCCCTCCTCTTGACAGAAATTAGAAATCAGTTTCCTGTTAACCTTTATCACCAAGACAACAGCCTGGAAAATCCTGGAAGCTCTGGGCTTGTCATGTTTTTGTTCATAACCTTGGACACGTAATTCTTCCTGGACTCTCTATCTGTGCCAGTAAGCTTCTGAAGTGAAATGCTTGATAAAAACAGACCCGAGACATCTCCATTCACACAGTGGGCTGGCACAAGGTCGAAGAGATTTCTGTGGAGATGGGGAGAGCTGATGGTTTACACGGAAAGTTGACATTGTCCTTTTAAACCCTCAAAATCTCAGTTTGGTTTCCTGCTTTTTAAGAGCA